TTATTATGAGCACCTACCCGTTGACTTAAAAAATGAGCCTAATGATGAAACATTTGATCGTCGACTGAAAAACTTTTTGTTGGATAATACGTATTATTCCATTGAAGAATATAGGGACATGGTCTTGTAACATACACACATCAAAAAAAGTTTGCGATCACTTCGAAAAACTGAAATCTTTTTTGTTACTGTAGATTATATTATGATTTTTTTCTTCTTTTTAGATTCTTTATTTAAAAATAAATTAGAACATAAAACAATGACCCCGTTCAATTGTTTTTTCATATAAAAAGGCTTTCAGTCCTAGCTTACGCTCATTCAGAAATCTGATTTAGTCAATTATAAGCGATTCAAGATATTTTTCGCGGAAAGTTGTGATTGAAAAAATGCCAAGAGGATTATCAGAGGTTTTACGAGCTAGAATAGTAACTTTGAGGGAAGAAGGATACACCACGAGAGTAATAGCACGCAGACTTGCTATATCCCAATCCTGTGTCGTGGCTACGTTGCAGAGGTATCACGGAATAGGGAATTTAGCTGACCGACCCCGCACCGGTCGCCCAACTGTTTTGACAGCTGCCCAAAAGCGCTATATTAGATTGCTGGCAGCCCGTGATCCAACAATCAACGCCACTAAAATAAAAGCAGAAGTCAGGGCCGCCTCTGGGCTTGAAGTTAGCACGCAGACCGTTCGCAATTGCTTGCATCAGGCTGGATTACGAGCACGGAGGTCTTGGCGAGCTCCGCTCAATTCCCGGCAACGTCAACAACGAAGATTGCAGTGGGCTAGACTTCGGCAAAATGAAGAAGGTGAGGACGAAAACATTTGGCAAAACTGTCTCTTCGTTGACGAATCCCGAATCAGCACTCATCCAGATAACCGACGTGTCCGTGTCTGGAGAAGACCAGGCGACCGTGAAAGACAAAGAACTGCCACTGGAACAGTTCAGCAAGGCGGAAAATCGGTGTCCTTTTGGGGTGGCATTATGATTGGAGCTAGAACGCCTTTGATCCCGTATCGGGGCTTCATGACAGCAGACATGTACAAAGCAGTTGCTATTGATGATATCGTCAGACCATTCCGAGTAAACCATGGGCACCAATTTGTACTGGTCGATGATAATGCGCCCGCACATCGAGCTCAACGAGTCAATGCTGCTCTTCAAGAATACGATATCACACGATTAGACTGGCCTGCGGGCTCGCCCGACTTAAACCCAATAGAGCACGCGTGGGATGCTCTTAAACGAGCAGTATGGAACCGTGAACCACGTCCCCAGACAGTTCCAGAGCTCAGGGAAGCCGCTATTGAAGAATGGGATAGGTTACCCCAGGAAATGCTGGACAACTTAATTCTCAGCATGCCCAGGAGGATCTTCGCATGTATTCGAGCCAGGGGAGGAGTTATTTTATATTGAATTCACACCTTTTAATAATAAATTGTTGTTTAAGTTTAATTAAACAGTCTTTTTCTTTCTATGAAATTTCTATCACTATTACATTATGATTAATGGCTCAATTTTTTAAAATAAATAATAAAAAATAGTTTTATATTTTAATTTCAAACAGGGTATTCCTATTTAAAGAAAGCATACTACATAGATTTTTTCTTGATAAAGTTAAATTTAAAGAATTATAGGAGCTTATGCTATTGATCGCAAACTTTTTTTGATGTGTGTATGTATGTTGTAATTTATAGATAATTAGGTATAAATATTACCTTATAGAAATGAATAAATTACATAAACTTTATGCATACAATCATTATATTGACATAATTATTATTATATTATTTAATATGTTCCTACAATATTTCACATAACTACATTAATTATGTTAAAATTACGTAGTACAAAACTTGTACTGGATATATGTAATTTTTTGAAATTTAACATTTATTACTATTTGTAATGATTTTTATAATACAATATATTGTATATAATAATGTAAAGTTTACAAGATAATAAATAAATCTAAATCTAAATCTACCTTGAAGACAACGATCTCCTCAGTGATCGCCAGTACGGATTTCTTGAGTGAATGTTCGATTCGAGTGGTCTTAGAAGGCTACTCTTCCGAACATCGGGCGATAGGTTCTGTCTGGGACAGGTAGGCCGGAGTTCGTCAGGGTTCTGTACTGTCTGCAACCCTGTTTCTGCTGCATATAAATTATGTGTTGATTCCAGGTATCTTTGGGTATGCTGATGACAGCACAGTTGTGAACAGGTACTTGACCAATGCAAGGGTCAGTGGAGTAGAAATCTAGTCTTGTCGAGAGTCCGATGGTTAGTCGTTTGAATTTGACACTTAACGCAGTCTCCGATTGAGGCGATGCCAATCTTGTCAAATTTAATACTACCAAAACACAGGCGTATTTTCTCCACTAAAGGAAGTCCCTTTCACCTGACTCCGACTTTTCGTGATATATTTATACCGATAGCCGACCGTCTTCATCTACTTGGAATGGACCTGTCGTCCAATCTGAACTTCGGCAGATACATTGAATCCATGGCCAAAAATGCAACCAAGAAACTTGGCATCCTTTCTAAGGTGAGGCGTTACTTCACACCGGGACAGTTGCTTCGACTGTACCAAGCACAAGTTCGGTCGTGTATGGAGTACTGCTGCCACTTATGGGATGGCTCTGCTAAATAACAACTGGCCACCTTGGATTCAATAGACAAGCGTGCTAAGAGACTAATAGGTGATAAATGTGAAGAAATTTCTATTTACAAAGAGCAACCCTTAGAGTTTCTACTCATTCTTCTCCAGAGAATCTGTCTTACGAATGAATAGTAGTGTTTAATCAATGTGACGATTTCAAGAGTAATTTGCGTACCTATGAAATAAATATCTATTTCTTTTCCAAATAAAAATGATTTTAGAAAGTATACTTTTATTACATAACAGGCCATTAAGAAACTGGGCTCACCTTAATTACTGCCGACCATACAAAACCTTTGCTCCAAAATTCTTGCTTTAATAGTATATTTAAAAGTGATTAAGTAATACTGAATATTGCTAAATTATATTTTCTAAACGGTCTATTTTTATTTATTAGTCTATTTTCGCAAATTCTCAAATTAGTGATCAAAGCCCTGAGTGTAAATTTGAAATCATTCAAACGTAAATACCACGTTTACGTTAAGATTTTATTTAGATCTTAATAATATACTTATAAGGTTTAAATTCAAATATTAACACAAACGCGATAGATAAGTTTATATATTTGAAAATTTACACTGAGGCTTTAACTTTTATTAGAGTTGTGTAAAATATTTTTTTTTTCTGAAAATGCTATATGGATATTTTTTCATGTTCCAACACGAAATATAAATAACTCTTTTCTACAACTGACTCTATCGGCGCGGTCAATAATAATGAGCACTAAATAAATAAAGAACTGGTGGAATCTTAATTTAACGAATTAAAAAAAAAATTGATAAACGAGAATAAATTTCATACTTATAAATTGGATTTTTTCTTGTTCACTAATATTTAATAAAAAGTATACATTAAAATTTCGAAGAGTGTAAACATGAAGAAAAAATAAAGAGAAAGTTAAATAAAGCGTTATATGGACTTATAAGAAGCACCACGTTCCTGGAATGAGTGTCTAAATATATTCTTTAAAAAGAATGGATTGATTGATTGATTGCATGCAATATGGAACAACACTTATTTTTAATAATATTGTTACGTCCTTGAGTTCTATATTAACCAAGGAGTATTATTACTATACGGGATATTTATGTTCTTTGGTTCATAAATGTTGACAAACGTTTTATTTTCAACATTTTATGTTTAGGATTTTGCTTAGAGGATGGGAAAAATATTGTAAACGATACCCTACTGCTCCAGAATCTAGCACGCTTGCTTATGCCTAAGTATGAATCTTCGTAATATATTGTTCAAATCCTTGTGGTAAGTGTACTACATTTTTTATCAACTTCTCCAAATTCTAAATCTTCGTCTTTCGAGACTACTTTTTACCCCATAGCGAGATTTAAGGTAGCATACCTTTAGACATAATAATATGGTATTAGTACTCGATCACGATACTATTGTGTAGTCATAAAGACAACGCGCCGCACTACTGCCTAAATTAGGTCCCTACTAACCCATGCATATAGATATTAACACTGCTTACCACGATTGTGAAAGTAGCTCAATGTCAGGCAGCTTTATAAGATATGTACGTTTACTAACCTTCCATAATATTTCAAATTGATTCTATTTCAAGTGAATCTTGCCCACAAAGATATGAATTCAATTAAATTAAGGACTGTCAAAATATTTCTTCAAGTCTTTAAGATAGCAAAAAGACGAGTAAACCTCCATAATGAAAACTGAATAAGGAAAGATCACTTTGAAAGCAAATAGCTAGATTAACGATAGTTTCAATCGTATTTTCAGCAAACCTAAGGCACTAAATATGCTGTCCAGTTTATTGAATAGAGATATCCGATTAGAGCCGCAGGGGCGTATGGGATTGAAACCTGCACTGTTGAGCTCTCGAGCGTCTGGAGCAGCATTGATGACGCACAAACAGCACTTGCCCGCGCCTGTGCCTTATCGAGGCACCAGCTTCCCAAAGGTCACTGCCTCTTCTGGTCGCAGGTGTTGTGTCAACTCAGTTGCTAAGTTGCTGGACTCTTTTTTTAATAATTTACAATAATCGCCTTTTTGTACAAATTTAAGAACTTATTATTTTTTATTGTATTCGGTATCATAAATGATATATTTACTGTAACATACAAAACTTGACCCTTTCGTCGCCGACCGTGACTCAATACAAAACTATTGTCTACACTTTATGTAGGAAAAAGATGATGTTGTTGTTTGGTCTTTACCATAGTCAATTTTTGTAGGTTTAGTAATCAAATATTCTTCGACTTCACTAAATTTGTACAAGTATCTTTCAAGAAATAAATGAGAAAACCAATAATTTAATTAACTAATTATTTATTTTATACAAATTCCGCTATAATACATATTTACAAACATAAAAACGATTTCGAGATTGTCACATAGTAAAAAAAAGCTTTGAGCAGATCGGCGACGGCGCCGGGCGGCCCGCGGCCGCGCGGCCCCGACGTCGCACGCGCACCCGCGCCTCGACACTATTCTACCCTATTACCTACCCTAGGATATTGTTAAGATGCTTGAAGTAGCAGTGGAGGAATTGTCACTTCTGTTATCAATCCATAGATGCTCTCGATCTTGTCGTTGAATCAATTTCAGGTGCGTTGTTGAGTTACGAAATAAATTAGTACGGAGAACGGTTACTTGGTTTGTCGTTATCTAGCGCCGGTATCTAGTACATGTTACGAATGAAATGAATAGGCAAATATTAAATCACAGCATATGCTTTACTATAAGTGTATGTACCAACATAAAATAGTATTATTGTTTTAGAATTACCTACATAATAAATTATTCGCGTAAAGTAGGTACTTAGGAGGAGTATTTTGAACCCCACTGTTACCTCAAGTTACTTTATATTGTTCTAAAGATGAACGCATTAAATGATGGAGGTGATGAGTCGCGCCTTGAAGTTTACTATTCTCTCGGAAGTTTGCGCGATGCGGAGGATGAGGTCTTGAATGAGGTTGGCAATGCCGCGGTTGGCGATGATGAACAACCTGGTGATAGGACCGGGAACGCCCTCGGTGAGGTTATCGCCCTTGGCGCCGCCGTTATCATCGCCGCCATCGACTGTAGCACCGGCGTCTCCTGAAGACGCACCCGATGATGATCCTGCCACCAGCTGAAACCGGGAGTTCTAATCAACCAACTTATCTCACGCTTGTTTTGCTCACCATGACTTACACATTTAAATCGACCAAACAACTTCATATACATATCGATTTAGTATTATTCTTATAAGCATACGTGCAAGAAAAGTTAGTAACTATGTTCCCTACTGGTACAATACCGAAAACACTATAATGTTAAAAAGTATAGTTAGTATTATTAATAATGAAAACTTCACAAACACGAAATTACTTAATACTTAGTAATTAGTACTTTTCGGGTGCTGTTTGTTATCTACAAATACAGCATGAAAAACTGCGATATAAGATTCTGGACCTACTATTAAAACCTAAATCTATGAAAAAAACCAGGAGTGGAACCAATATTCATCTCCGTATGCTTTAATTTACTTTGTTGTTTAGCTATCTAAATATTTGTTAATTAATTCCTCAGCATTGACGAGAGAAAAACTACATTATCTTAATCTGAAGGAATATTATGTTACAAATATTCGCTTTGCATCAAGCAATTCGCTATAGCATGAAAATACTAATCGTTTGTTAGGTTGACTTATTCGAATAGATCAAAGATACGGTTTATGTTCTGACCTATTCAGTAGATCTATTCTGTACTTTTAAATAAAAACTAAATCTCTACTTGCACTACTTAATTATTCTACAAAACTACAAATACAAACAATAAAGGGTGAAGGTCTGCTAGCTGTCTCCATTTACAGGCTGCAAAATTCTAGTGCTGCAAATCTACATTCACTACACGTGTACGGGCATAATAAGGTGTTCGTTGTGTTGGCGTTTCGGATGTACTTGTGGATCGTTCGGGTCCAGGGATGCTGTGTGCGAGGCGGTGAGACCAACGTTGAGGGAATCGGTTCCGGCGAAGAGACGGAATGCCGTGCCGGCTGCGCGCGCCATCACTTCAGCTGGACGCTGCAAACCAAACCTTCTCATTCGCACCACCTTCACATGCACTACAGTCCCTTTCTTCCAGCACTTTACTACAGACCTTGGGATAATCCACCCGTTCTTTTCCAGTAAAATCGTCGTCCTCAGGGTATTTTGTATACATGTTGTGTTTTTGTTATAGAATATATTGGTATTGACAATTTGTAGTGTAAACGTAAACGTACAACAATCGTTATATGGATTATACGAGTAAGTATATTTTGTTATGTAAGTGTGTGTGTCTATAATGTAAATAAATAAACTTACTCTGACTATGTCGAATAGGAAATTGCCCGAGCCGCCTCCGGAAACACTCGCACTACCTTGAGCTCCAAAGGGTAGGAATCTGGAATGTTCCAAACAAACCACAATCATCATTAGTAATGCATTGCAGTGCATTCGTAACTTTAATTTATGCCACGCAACTGTTACATGATCTCAGACACTAGTAGTACTGCATTCGCTGGTAGAAATCAATCGTGCGAATTGAAAAGTACCGTAAAAACTAGTATAATAATAGCGTGCACTCGTTTTCAATCTATTGTTCACCAATGTTCGAGATATTACAATGTCGGGAATAAGCGGCTGATCCGACATATGCATGTAGTCCCCATTATTGAACGGTGACAGTAACTAAAAATAATTACGCATGCATCAATTCTCAATTAATTTATACGTTCAAAATGTACAAATAATCTAAATTTTTATAAATCAACATCATTAACTGTGTAAAGAAGTATGATGCTGACTTTGCTGACTGCCCCGAAGAATTGTAAAGAGTATAAGGAACCTTTACTTACTGACAAGCAGACTACTGCATGTAGTTCAATTTCTTTGAAGACCTGACGAATATTTATAGTTATTAAAGTGCTTAGTTTGTTAGCATAGTCTGTACCTCTTATTTCTGTTCTCCTCGCTGTTATCAGCGTCATCGAGAGTGATCTCATCGATGCTTGCGGAGTTGGTCTGCGCAGCGGTTTGCTGATCTTCGCTCGCTGCGGGTTGTTGGTCTCCTTGACCATCACCGAATGCTACTCGTACTTCCGCTTGTTGGGACTCCGCACCAGACAGCAGTTGGTTCTCGTCAGCAATGGCATTCTGGAAAATAAAATATTTTTAGTGACCAGTATCGGATTGTTTTTCGTGATAATCATGCTCGTGTAATGAAGGGTGGTGTCGTCGATACGGTGAAATGGCGATGACGTTGACGATGTCGAAGGATGAGCGAGCGGTCAGCGCTGCACTGCCGTCCTTGGGCAGGCTGGTGTTAGTGCGCGATATTGCGACGCTCATACCGGCAGGAAGAAAAGCGCCCGCTTGCGGCGGCGCTCGGGTTCAGCAGTGGTGCTGACGCTGATTGTCGTTGAGACCGATGCGGTTGTGTCTGAAGAATCTTCATCGTCTTCGTCATCATCGTCATCTGCGAGCTCGACAGTGCCGCCTCCACCTCCGTTGTTGCCACCACCGTTGCGGTTGCCCAGAAACGCTCTGAGCACTACAGGCCCAAGCGTTTGCAACAGCATTCCCGTAATCTGCTGTACCTTCTGTTCGATAATCTAGAACATACACCGCCCTTAGGATACCGACGACATTCGACGACATTTCTGAAATAAATATGCTACTACTACTGCAAAGCTCGCAATAGCTACTACTCTACGCTGAATTACCATTTTCTTTGTACAAGCAGTGCTTAAAAGCGAACCCCACAAAATAATTGATCAATTTTCAAAAAGCTTATTTGTAGACCTTTTTATGTTACCTTTTTTCTAGGTCGAAGTCGTCATTGTGACCAAAATTGCACCAAAGGCAAATGTTCTTATTACACACCTGTTTTTTTTAATGTAGGTACATAGAGCTGCAATGAAGGTTGTAAAATGCTTCTTGTACTTAAATTAACACCTGTATCCAATTTTATTACAAAAAGATGCTTCTTTTATACCTGTGTCAATGTTGGGAACAACTGCCGGAGAATTCCGATAGTGCGCTTGTTTCGTTCGCTGAGCTCGGAGCCGGGGGCGCCGAGGTTTAGCGTTGCCAAGGTCTCCTGAAAAATACAGGCAAGATCTCTTAATAATTGCTTTTACAAATACCAATAATAAGCATTTATAAAATGTCATGACTCTCTAAAAGGTCGCAGTCTCGTTCGCAGAAAATAATTATATATAAACCTTGAGTAAGTAGTAACTATGGTAGTAACCATAAAATATAAATAATTATATAAATAGTACTCCCTCAAAAGAATATGAAGTTACGCAATTATTTTTATTGAAGAATCGTTTGTAATTAGGGACACGCGACATTATAACAATTCAATGTCTTAGGGCGCACTGACCCGTGGATTCTCATATTTTTGGTCGAAGGTGCTCAAAGTACTGGTCATTTTTTCCTATTCAAATCCTAATTTGACTATTGACAGATAATTATGTATATTTTGGTATGACGAGGTGTACCTTACAGCGATTCGTTTCGCAGCCCGCACGGCTGGTTGAGTAAAGGGGCCGTTCTTACAATGTAATAAAAGGTAATAATATTAGCATTCATTAAACGTTTGTTATAAAATGTAAATGAGATAGATAATTCTGCATGAATTATTGCATTTATTAAAACTTTAATAGGCAAACAGCGTGGCGAGCAAAGACCAGGTTCCTCTTCTTGTTAAAGATTAGTATTCAATGGTCAGCAACAATTGTATGGGTATTCACAATACATTGCACAAACCTGTGCACTTGCAGCGGGTGCGATGATTTCAATAATCTCGGGTCTATCGTCTGCGGAGGCAGCGGGATCAGGGTTTGGTTGAGGTTTGGCTTCAGGAACCGGCTCCGGATTGGGCGCAGGCGCCGCCACAGCCGCAGCCAACGCCGCGCATATCACAGCTAGATACACTGTCGTCCTCATTCTGTTGTGTAATCACAATAGTAGTAGTCTTGATGGTTGTATCGAACTGTCCGCTTCAACTTTCTATTGGCACCTGTGAAAGCAGCAAACATCTTAATTTACTTGAAGATAGATAGAAATTGATTCGATCATATTTCATCGTTTAATTTTTAGTAAAGTCCAAGACCAATAAAACCAAAATATGTTATTAACATTACATATACGTAATGTTGAGAGATGTCTCAACTATCAATAAACTCATAAAAATCACCAACTCGGACCCGCACGACCATGTTTTTTGTGTGTATGTGTTGTTTATTGTTCAGTGTAATATTAAAATGTTAATGTTTTAAATTTTATATGCAGGTCGCGTATGGGAGATTGGGCAAGGCAGTAGATACAACGCCAGTGCGAGGTGACTGTCGACTTTAACGACCGACCTTTGACGGTACGAGTAAGTCACTTTCATTGTTGTGTTAAGTACGACATGAACCTCTGACGCCGTTTTGACATAATTTTCCACAGTTGCCACTAAATTGGCAATTCTTGAAATAGTTAAATATTTATAAACCAAGTAGGCATAATGAGATATTGAATAGATCACTTAAAATTTATTAATTGTGGTTGAATACTTTTTGTAGATGTTGGACAAAATATAACGTTATAATGACCTTCGCAGTCGAGTGGCTTGCACATCTCTGAGGTCCTGGCTTTGATCCCCGGCTGGGTCAATATAGAAAAACTAACTTTTCTATAGTGTTTCTGATACCGTCATTGTTTCCGATTTCCATAACACAAGTGCTTTAGTTACTTTGGGATCCGAGCAATGACCTAATATTTATTTATTTATATTTAATTCAAACACAGCGATGGCTTTAACTTCCTAAAAATAGCTTAATAAGTTCTGCGTTCAGTGGAGCAGAGTATTATATATGGGTATATTATGTACCAGTACGAGACGAAAGGTAGAACAGGTCTACGTTTCGAAGTAAGAGGTGGTTAATGTTGCACGTGGTTTTACCCACTGTTACTTAACAACATTAACTATTTCAAAACGGAGTTGTTTCATAATTTCTTTAATTATAAGCCCTATAATGACGCGTTGTAACTCATTATCATTCAAAAATTGTATAATTCGTGCAATACTATTACTGTTAAAATTTATGTATATTCAGTTTTGATTATGTAAAGAATAATGGTATTCTAACGATAATTTCGAGCTGTATTCAGAAAAAGAGATATATCTGTCGACGACGTACCGCAAGATGATAAGAAAATATGTTTGTCGTTGGTATGTGTTATACTGGTGTTGCAAGACTCTTCTTTCGTTTAGAGCGCTTAAATTTTAATTTGTTTAGTTAAATTGTCATTGTCAACCTATATTTTTTTTTTTTATTGAGTGCTTTCGTTTATTTTACAGCCTTTTTAAGCATGTAGTACAGGTATATTCGTGTACCACATTAAACGCAAAATAAATAATATCATAGATATTTATTTTTAATTCTCGAAATTGCGGACACTGATGTTAATGAGCAGCTGGACAGTCTTTCTTTATTGTATATATAAATATTTATTATATATTTATATTTTATATATTATTATATATTTTAAATTTTCCAGCAGTGGACAGAAATAGATTTACCTACCCACTCCGGCAAAGACTTGCATGCATCAAAATTAGTCACAAACTTGAAAGGTTCTTTTTTGAAAGCAATGCATACATTTCCGAGCTAAGAAAAGTAATTACAATAAATTATTATTGATTGTAAGGCGAATATGTTTAAATTCGCTGACCCAGAAATGAAGGCCGTGGGTGTATAGTTTAGGTATGCAATAAGTAAATGAACGGAAAAGGTAATGACGAAAATATAGCGCCTATCTTATAATTTGACGCTCCATATAACATTCTAATAACGAATAGGTGGGCAATAATGACCTTTTAGATTTCGTTTTTACAAACCTGTCTGTATGAAACTTCAAGGTATGCAGATAAATATTTATAGGTATATGCTTAAGGCGGTCGTACCTACAGAGAATTTATTTTTGGATTCAGATTCTAGATGGTCCTATCTAACAATTTGGTAATTGAAAATGTACATTATATTGATTACATTTAATTGGGCTTCAAATACGAACTCGTATCTTCTGAGTTAAAACTAGTAAGTTATTAAGTTGCAATGAAATTATTCATAGCAACTTAATAACTTACTAGTTTTAACAGTTGCAATATAAAAAAAAACTTAAGGAAACAATGTTTCTCATTGTGAGCCTATGTAAAAAAAATATTATGTACCAAACGTTTTTTATGTACTTTTATAATCACAACTGAAGACTTGGCTCATTGTTCTTTGCTATTTGTTAATGTTCAGATCGGTATTTATCTGTAATTTTATTAATTAGTTATATTAAATGCAATTATAAGCAATTTGCAGAGTTCACGTGGTAAAGCGTACACGTGATTTAAATTAGTTGTTGCCAACAAAAGAAAAGACGGTGTAAAGACAGCAACTATGAAAGATCTATAAATGTTTTATTTATTAAACAAAGCATTTCCATCTTTATGATACCATGACAATACGTGTGCTATTTATTATATAACTATACAGATTGTCAATATTAAGTGTCCTAGCGATAGTACAGTTAAAAATTACTTTAAACAGGGACTTGTCAACTTATGTCTCAGCGTGACGGGCGCAGTGGCTGTGCCCTCAAATCTTTGCGATTTAATGCTCTGAGTGACACTGTAACTGTTATGGACAGGCGTGTATTTACCACCAGGCGCACGATTTGTTCATCCGGTCACTTTATATTATAAAAAAAACTCAAACTTAAAATATAACGCCTAACGATTAATAATTTAAAAAAAAACAAAACCATTTAGGTAATGTTTACTGAAACTAATACCATTTATTTATTGTACAAAATTTTCCAATTCATTAAAATAGTTCTTCAACTTCAAATAGTTTCGATATTAGTGTACACTACATTATAACGATTACATCGACTTATTTCATTATAGGAATGAAAAAAATTAATACCTTAAGTCACATAACTTTTAACGTAATAGATGAAGTTCTTTTGGGAAATAACTTAGGTTCTCCATAAAGAATTGCACCTACAGTTTCAAATATAGCCAGCTTCATAGCACCTTTTAATCGTGATCGGTGATTATCTCTGAGCTGTAGTTTACGCCTGAATTTACATTAGCAACTGTAATTCGTGTGTCAGGTGGTAAGTGCACTAAAGTTACGCCATCGCTGGCCACTGATCTAGTCGCTTGATAAATCAACCCCACTATACTGCACTTACTTTAACCAGATGTATGTTCTTGTTCGTATAAACGAAATATTCCTCTATCAATAGTTTTGTGCCGTAAATGGGAAGCGCTTATTATAGTAAAAGACATCTTGATGTCCAATCGTTGCATCAAGCTACAATGTTTTAATATAGCCTTATATTTTGTTTCACGATTATTAAGATTGCTATATTAAGTAATATTTTATCTTTTTTTTTTTGTAAATAATTATTTTTAACGATTTGAGCGTTCGTTTCCATGACTTCATGTACAAGTTGCGTTTAGCTAATATTGCAATACCCATTTACGTTTATCTTGTTTGCAATCTAGAGATGTTGCGAGTGATTTCTACTTACATTGACAAAAATAATAATTATACAAGTAAGTAATTGTTTTGTGGCAGTACTGACGCAATTTCTTAAAAAGCTTTGTTTCTTTGAATAAATTTTGAGATAAACAAATATCATTGTGTAATACATCGATATAATCAATCGATAATAATACATCGGCATTCATTTAAGGCTATTACGTATACAACCTGTGCTTTAACTTCGTATTATATGCTTCTAATGATAAGCTAATTCAATGTTGATTGCTTGGCTATAATCTATAGAATGGTTCAAAATCTGAGTTAAATTCGTGTCAAAGATCACAAGGAGACCTACCATTACTATTTGATAGATGTTCGTATTTGCGTAAAAAGTCTGTTTCCCGAGGAAACTGTTGCAATTATTCCTATATTACCGGCTACGCATTGTTGTCACGCCATGACATATTTCCGTAAACTTGGACGCAGGTCTTACAGCAGGTAAAATATTAACAATACAAAACAGAGTTTGAAACTCCTTATCCTTACGTAAATCCATATTGTTCGCGTTGAACATGCGCGGATGTAGTCTTATTCAGAAGCGATGATTGTTTTGTACAAATTACAGTCCACTTTGTTCTTTTATTACATGTTATATATGTCATAATGGTCGAATACAAGCATTCTCACGTAATACTTAATTTACACCATTTTGTAATGCTCAAGAGTTCTTCCTCTTCGATTAACCTACTTGCCAGAGTGATATTATCGCACGAGAAGATATCGAAAGTAGCACGTTTGTGTACCTAATATTATGTTAATTCCACAATGAATAAAGATGTTTATCAAAAAACGTATTATTGTGTTGTACGAACATTACATGACTTAATTAAATTGTATATTTGTTATGTGTTTCTTCTTGGAAAGAGTCCATTTCAATAATATTCTCATCGGCTTGCCTATAAAGTTTATTCTGCAATTTAATATTGGGTATTGAACCATTGTCTTGTAATATAGCACTTCCTATATAGTTCCCGGTTTGTCTTCCTCATATATTCCTGTATCGACTTACATTCACAATTATAATGTGTATAATTATGTATTTTTTATAGCTTTCTCCTTTCTTGTATTGAAATATTCATACTGCCCAATGTGTGATGTGCTCCGTTTCGCTCCAGTCGTCGATCACCGGTTGTTCTTACTTACCTATCGTGTGGTCACATTTGCAGCCAGAATGCTCTACTTGTGAAATAAGTAAATGAATCTGTTGCAATGTAATGTAATAATTGAAACGATTTACATCTGCTAAATTACTACACGAAGAGTTATAAAGTCTATCTAATAGATAATTAAAGACGGGAACAAATTGAGGCAAGTTATTAAACATCTTCATTTGATTACAGATGTATGCTTATTTGTATAAAAGCATTGACCTACCAACATGAAAGGTAAAAAATAGTTAACAACATTCCGTCTATTAGCCGTTTCAACT